GAGAGAGAGAGAGAGAGAGAGAGAGAGAGAGAGAGAGAGAGAGAGAGAGAGAGAGAGAGAGAGAGAGAGAGAGAGAGAGAGAGAGAAACGTACAGAGGCTCTTACTGCATGGTCAAGGAGAATACTGTGGAAGTAAGGGGTCCAGAGGCCCAGAACCATCACGTACTGACGTTGAGGCCCTAGGCAAACAGACCTTCTTCCTCGTTGTTTGAGTTATGATGCTGGAACAGTGGTACTCTAGCTTTGTGCTAGCCCGGCTCTGGGGCAGGCCCAACACCACCACTGCTAGGGAGAAGCAGCAGTGCCAGAAACAGCAGACAGAGCCACCTGTGGCTGGATGTGGAGGCAGATGGGGGAGGCCCAAGACCACCACTGCTAGGGAGAAGCAGCAGTAGCAGAAACAGCAGACAGAGCCACCTGGGAAAGCGACTAGGTGAGTGTGGATGCAGCGGAGGTGAGTGTGGATGCAGCGGACTAGGTGAGTGTGGACCTTGCTTTCAACCGCACCTGAGCTCGGGAAAGCGACCAGGTGAGTGTGGATACAGCAGAGACCTCTTATGAGCGCAGTAGCGATGCTTTTTGGTGGGTCAGCATCGTCATTAAAGCACCCACACTGTTCGCGTACCTCCGATGGTTGGTATTGCAGGTGGACCAAGTGGTTTCTGCATTCACCTCCAGATTGCACGTTCTCCAAGCCCTGTGTGAGAACCAGTAGCTATAGAGAACACATGGCTATGGCTGCCCCAGTTGATATCAGAGACAACTAGTGACAACTGACAAGCAGAGAAAATTTGTGAGGGTGAGAATGTGAGAGAGTTTTAGCCCGATGCCTTCTTGGCAGCTGCCCCAACGGCCCCCGAGCACCTATACACGCATGCACAGACCCATGCACTCCCTGCTCACCCTGCCATGCTGCTCCTTGGGCACCGTCCCTGTTCACCCGAGAACAAACTGCCTGCCACGCCCTACCAACCCTTCTCCACTTCTCTGCCTACCGCCCCACAGACCGCAACGACATAGATTGCCAAAGGAGTATCGAAACACCATCACGCCACACGTTGCTTCGGTCTTCCACCCATTCTTTTCAAACAGGAAGTGCGCTTGGTAGTCCAAATAGAAGGCTGCCTGCCATGAGACTGCGGTCACTGGACAAAAGCTGGGCCAGGGTTAGACCACCACTACATGTCACAGGCAACGTCGAGCAAAAAGACGTAACATTCCCGGTGCTTGAGATGAACAGTGCTACTGGACAACAACTTATCGTCTCATGATCTCATGAGACTACAACCAGCACTACAAGAGACGACAAGTCTTTGTCCAATAGCGCACTGTTCATCTCAAGAACCTGGAATGTTTGTCTCATGAGACTAAACCACCACTACTGGACAAGAACAACCACTACATGCCTTGAAGGACTTGACAGAGGAAGTGAGCTAGTCATCACTACTCTGCGATCGACAGATTCAACCCTTCCGTCTCATGATCTCTCAGCTGTCGCTTACATCGCTTACATCCATACAGTTAATGTGTAATCTGATGCAAGATAACTAAGCCACTTCTTACGACTCACCACTCAACACCTCTGGCCTTTTTACTAGCAATCAAGTGTGCATGAATAGTTGGCACTCCTCATGCACCCGCACCCCCATGCATGCATGTCGTGTCTCTTTGAAAAGCAGAAGATCGGGCAATTACCTTGAGGGCGCAGTGTGCACAAAAGTAATGTTTGCATTTCGTCACCACGGGGTCTATGAACGGTCGTCGGCAAATGAAACAAGCAAAAGGCAGGTCATCATCTTCATCGATCTCTTCCTTCTGCGGGTCGTCTTCATCATCCACCTGGTCCCGAGCTGCCAATTCTCTCCTCTGTTCCTCCTCCTCATTCCATTCTCTGTCCAACTGCAGGCAACACACAAGGAAAGCCTCGTTAAATGATCTACAACACACAACCAGGCATTCAAGATTCACTCTCCCAAAAAAAAGGACGTAACTCATGACAAGAAAGGTTGCACAAACTTCTTTCACGAGCCCCCTTTGTACTGAATCCCCAATGCAACGCAAAGGTGAAAGAACAGTGAGCGAGAGACAGGGAGTTCATGAATCAGGGAGGAACTGACCTGCCAGCCTGACTTGTAGTCTCCTCTGTCATGCATTAACTTACACAAGAGTCCCCGTAACCACAATAGCCAGTTTCCTTGTAGTCCTTGCAGATGTCAGGTTGGTAGTCGAACCTCACAGACATCCTCACATTCGCAGAAGCCCGCAGAGGGCCATG